TGCCTTACTAGTAGTAACAAGAAGCTAGTAGAAACAAGTGCATCGCTGATCGGGATGAGGAGCCAATTTCTGTGAGGAACTTTACGCCAGGGACGTAAGGTTCTCAGGTTTGGTGCCATCGATTCAGATCTACTCGTCTTGTCACCTACGACTCGTCATCTTGCAGCTTTGCCGGGCCTCGCCTGTCTCTGAGCCGAAGGAGCACACAGGAGGAGCGTGACCAAAAGTGTCAGGAGTTGGCGAGAGAGGAGCTGGAAGACAGAGTTGCAGAAATCTATGGCTGTTGAGTTGAAGATGGAAGTGGTTGAAGTTTGTGTGAAGTTTTTTCGGAGGAACGTGGAGACCCAGCTCCTTGTGCCTGCCCTACAAATCGTTCAAGGAAAATCCACAGAGCCCGAACGGAAAGTCTGCGCAGCGAGCAAATCAGTGGGCTGGGACAAAATAATCAAACCTAGCGATAGACTCCAACCGTCCAATCTCTGAGTTGTTTGCCAAATGTCCTTAAAGTTCAAAGGGAAATCGTCTTTGGTCGAATGTTTGTCAAGGAACATGTATATCTGCAGCGTCAACGCTGTACTGAGACAATAAATATATAAGACTTAGTAGGTTTCGATCCATGCCCCATAGAGTACCAACTGCAGCGGCATGCGGGTACATCAGGCTCTTGTTGAAGCAACCAGAATGCTTGGCACCCACCAACATGCACATGGTTTCTAATACCACATGGGCCACATGCCACACACCCTTCTCAAAGCTCTGTTCAGGGTAAGCCGCAATAGACCAAGCTACAGTAGACTTCCTCAGCAAACTGAATAGCACTCTGTTTTCATTGCTGATATGTCCGCGCGTGGCACCTGTGCAGGCGGAGCAAACAAACATTCACCTCCAAAAGCAAAGACCAACGGGAATTTGCATCCAACTGCAGTTGGAATTTGCATCCAATTCTTGCAGAACCCACTTGCTTGTTGTGCCCGTCGTATCCAAGCAGGATACAACAGGGTCACCTGTGCCAAAGCTTGACAGAAAACTCTTCGCGTCACAAATCAAGGACTTTATAACCGGAGGCAAAAGCAGAGTGCATGCGGAATGGAGATTTGAAACAAAATGGTGAACATCGATTGTCATGAACGAGATGAGTGAGCGGAGTTGAATGGGTCAGAAAGTTGGTTTGAAGGCCATTGCTATTAGGTTCCTCAAAGTACTTTTTCTACAAGGATATGAACAAAAATGCTGGTAACAAGAAGCTACTAGTATTAGTAGCAAAGGGCATCGCTACTAGGAGCAAGGACGCTACTAGGGGCTCCTCGCATCACTAGTAGTAACAACAAGCTACTAGAAGCAAAGGGCATCGCTACTAGGAGCAAGGACGCTAC